TTACACGACACACGAGAGAGAGAGAGAGAGAGAGAGAGAGAGAGAGAGAGAGACAGAATGCGCGCGTTCGAACAACACACAAGAGGCGGCGCACGCTTCGTATCGTGGCAATAGATCGTGGCTAATAAACTTACTTCGGGGTCACAAGTTCGACGCGGTGAATTCCGATCGTTTCTTGTACACCTGGCACCCGGAGAAGGATGTGTACGGGATATATGCTTTCTCGAGCGTACACCTGTTCCACGCTCTCACTCACGACGACGCTGAAAAGCGTTCCTCGCTCTCGTACACCGTGTCTCGCCCCCTATGTAACACCGATCCGCTAGCGATGGCTTCGTACCAGGCCTGCCTCTCCACCTTTCCGCTCCATTTCTCTTCCTACGATCTCGCTCGTGCACGCGTCCAATCCGTTTCAACCGCCATCATTTTCCATTTCCCATCCTCCGCCTCGCCCCCCTTCATCGTCCATCATATCGCCCGATCCAACAACGTTTCTGCTACGAAAGTGTGGAAACGATTCGAGCGAGTATTGATTTTTAATTAAATACTCTCGGCTAACCTCTGATTTCGCGAAATACTTGACAAAACTTTGAAACTTTCGAAGGAAAAAATTGCAAAGAATCATAAATGTGGAAGATCGTTCGACCAACAGGTTTTCCTCCTCTCGAAATAGAGAAACGATTAGATTTTTTGGATAATAGTGGAAAAAGAAAAAAAAAAGGAGAATCTAGAAGAAGAATCGTCGAGACGTTGCTCGGTCCTCGCGAGTTTTCGTGCGTCACTCGAGGTCCTTCCTACTCGAGGCAACCACCACGAATACATCATCGAGAGACGAGAGAGGCCAAGCCGTGGCGTCGTCTTGTCTTCCTATACTGGCGAGATGCGCGTGCGTGGGATATTCAGCCCGAGGAACGGACGAAGCGGGACGGCGGGACCACTTGGTTCGAGGAACGAGAGAAAGAGAGAGGCATGAACGGGAGAGTGGAAGACCCAGATGGTGAGATAAGGACGCCCCTGAATCCAATTCTGCCACCGAATCTCAGATGAGAATCGTCGCGAGCCGTACGAGGCAAGATTACCTCGATTCGATCCTTCGGATAAGGTACACCTGTTGCCCTGCCCCACGAACCGATCGGCTTTAGATCATTGATGATTTTCCTTCCCTTCCACCGACGTTCTTCTCCTCCTTCCTCCTCCTCTTCTTCTTCTTCTTCTTCTTCTTCTTCTTCCTCTTCTTTTTCTTCCTCTTCTGCGCTCGCCTGTGGGAATGTGGTAGCCTTGCCCGATTAAATCTCATCTCGGGATAACGCACGAAAAACAACCCGGCCACGAACATCTCGGGCTAATATTCTCGGTGAACACGTGTTTTCTCTCGGTGTATCCGACCGGGAGAAAAAGTGGCAAGATCCATCGATGATCTTTATATCGGGCTTCGACTCTTAAGGAGTTGTTGCTGCGCGAGATGAACAGGTTTTTCGAGAGCCGTTTCGTACCTTCTTTAAAAATCGTTCTTTAATCGCTCTTTAACGATACATTTCTTGGGAACGTTGGGAAAAATCGCAACGAATTTTCTCCGACTATTAAACGTAATTCGCGCAAGTAACCATCCTTCTTCGCGCGTCCAATTTCTCATCGAGTCGAAAACTCACGGATTCTTGCGCGGAATTTTATCCCACCTACGAGTCGTAATACGTACGTACGTATTCGCGTGCGCGATCCACTTTGCTCCGCGTACACGGCGTAGAACGAATGGATCGAAAACCGATCGCGTTCGATATTCTGAAGAATGAGAAACGATCGAGATAGGGCGGCTCGCGTTAACGAGCCAGCAAATTGGATCACGATCGTTGAATAATTGGATAATAGTAGAATGCTTTACATCACGTCCCACCTAATTTCGTTGCACACAATTCGCGCGCCGATTCACCGACCGAGGAATACTCGTTGCGCCGTCAAATTGTTAAATTATCGTTTTTCCACGCGTTGGAACGATATTTCAAATAGAGAAATCTCAGTTTTTCGTCGAAACATGTCGAAAAGCCTGCTCGATTTTTATCGATCAACGTCCAATTCCTTTCCCTTTACGGCTGAAAAAAAAAGGAAGGAAATTAAATTTTCTTTGTTATCGAAAAGAAGCGACGACTTGTCTTACCTCTTCCCGAAATTTCAACCATCTTCTAACTTCCTTCTAACGCGAAGGAATACCATCGAATTATTTAATTTCCCATGGTTAAACTAGTTTGACATACCGGCAGAACTAGTATCTTCTTCCTCTCGACTCGATCCTTAATGCCGAGATATTACGCATACAAAAAAGGTACAAGCGTCGAACACTTGACGCCTAAATCTACTTCGCGTATTGTACGATGTTGAAAAGAACAAACACGAGCGTTAAATACTTCACATCCGAACATCTTTTCTCGAGCACTATTTAAAAACCGCAATTCATCCCGTCCCCATGATTCGAAGATCGTTCTCTTCCCTACGAAGGGAAGCTCGAACGAGAAAGAAAGAGAGAGAGAGAGAGAGAAAAAAAGAAAACAAGAAAAAAAAGAGAAGAAGGAAGAGGGAATAAAAGTCAAACGAAGGCAGCAACTACTAACGAGCCAACCAGACGAACCGAGTTCAAACCGAGTCATTTCGTTCGATGTCTCAGTTTCTCTCGATCCCGGATCGAGAGAATCGAACTTTAAAAATTTTTCCAAATTTTTATTTTCGTATCATCGTTCACGAGAAAAAAAGAAACAAAAAAAAAACAAAAAAAATCATATCGCAATCGACTCTAAACAACGTCGACTCGCTCGTCGATTAACTCGACTCGATTACGTACGAAAACAAACTCGAAGTCGAGTTACCTATATACGGATATCGAAGCGACTCGACTCGATCGAACGAGGACTGAGAAACGAGCGTTTGATGGATACCTAGCGTTGTTCGGTGATCGTGGAGGAACGGCGCGTGTCTAGCTTGTAATCCTTGTATCCTCGCCGCGATACACGCTGCTCACGGTAACACCTGAGAAGTCTGGCATTATAACGACATCGTGGATATGAAACGAGGCATTGGGACCACGTACGCGTACATACACGCGAGAACGCTTGAAACGTCCCGGTGTGCGTGCGTACGGTTTGTTGTTTGCCGCGCCTAGATCATTTTGTTGCTT